CGCGGGGCCCGCCCCAGCCAATGGCTTCCAGCTCAGCCCAGGAACTGGTGCCATTTGTCTCTGTGGTCAGCTGGCTCGTTTGTTCCTGCTCCGTCCGGGGATGTTATCCTGAGCCGAGCTGTTTGGTGTTTATTGCTGGGGAGAGACCAATTGGTAGCAGCAGCCAGATCCCAGCAAATGGTGCTTTTCACATGAAGAAGATAATGAGAACGAGAGTTGCTGTGGTGAGGTGTCAGATCTAACAGCAGGTCGCAGCAGGGGCTGGGAGTAGCGTGGAGATCCTGGTCTCCACACCCTAATGAATACATAGCTGACAGCTCTCAGCTCCTCTGCACAAGAGCCCTTTCAGCCAACGCATCCTGCACCAAGCCCCTGCCTGTTCAGAGCGTGCGTTAACAGCCCCTGGCACTCCCCACATGGGCAGGGGGGCGAATCCCAACCCTTGGGCTGAACCTATTCCCTCTCCAAACCATTGCGCTGGCTGCTTTCTTCTGCCCCAGAGATGTTTGCATTATCTCCCGCGCTGTGTGCACGTAGTCTCTAAAATGCTTTGAAGAAGACTGTTTAGAACAAAAAATGCTCTGGTGTTTGTGTTGGATGAAAACTGGGATGCTGCCAGCACTCTGCTGAGGCTGGGGGGTTGGGTGGGAGGGATGGGAGCAGCCGGGCAGGCTGGGAGGTCTCAGCTGACGGCTGCTGCTCTTCCCCTGCCAGCCCAAGATTGTGGAGGCCCTGCTGGGCTACGAGATGGTGCAGGTGGCCTGTGGTGCATCTCACGTCCTGGCAGTTTCCAACGAACGGGAAGTGTTTGCCTGGGGCAGGGGGGATAATGGTAAGAGATGTCTGCTTAACAAAACAGGGCTTGTGCTTTCCATTCCCCCTTCCCGCTCCCCTCACTGGCCTTGCTTTGCTACAGTCCTCTCCAGATGTGCCAGTTAAGCGGGTGTGGAAAAGTTACAGCTGTTTCATCACGTAGCACGGCCCCTTTGCTTTTGGCTTTGCTCCCCTTCATGGTGGTGGGTCCCAGGCTGGGCCCTTGCAGGCAGCTCTGTAGATGTGCTCTCACTCACAGTGGTGCGTTTGGTTTGTATGTTGACATCAGCTATGCCCTGCTCTGTTCTTCCTGCCAGGTCGGCTGGGGCTGGGTACCCTTGAGTGCCATAACTCCCCCCAGCAGGTAGCAGTCCCCCCAGAGCACGAGGCTCAGAGGGTCATCTGTGGCATCGATTCCTCCATGGTCCTCACAGTGAAGAACCAGATTCTTGCTTGTGGGAGCAACAGGTAGGAGAAGTAAGCGTCTGTGCTCCAGAGTCTGCCACAGCAGGGCTCTCTAGGGTCCGTTCAGTCTGTGTCTGGCCAGGGAAGAGAACACGAAACTGTCTGAGAAGGGTCTCAGAGTCATCGCTGTGTGACCCTGCTCCCCAACATCTCACTGCTGATGGAGCAGTTATGCTAGGGCAGGATTTGAATGCGGGGGTATCTGTGCTAGGCCACGTTCAGCCAGCCCTGAACTATGGTCTTCCTCCTGCAGATGTAACAAGTTGGGCCTAGATCGGGTCACCTCAGCAGAGGAGCCTTCCCCAGAGGACCAGGTGGAAGAAGCCACCGTGTTCACGTGCGCCCAGTCAGCCCCCTTGAACCAAGAGCCAATCGTGTGCGCTGATATTGGTACGGCACACTCAGCTGCCGTCACAGGTGAGGGGTGCTGTGCCTAAGGCCTTGAGGGGGGGACACAGGCCTGCGTTTCCTCTGTCTTCCTCCTGCCTCTGGTCCCCATGACTAGAGGCCTAAGAGAGGCTCAGGAGGCAACCTGCTCCCAGTGGCGGAGCTCTGTGGAGCAGGCTGCTCAGCATGGCCAAGCCCAGAGGGGTTCAGCGGCTCTGTGGCATCCTCAGGTGACACCCTGATGTTCCACATGGGAACTTCATGTTTCTCTCTACTCTGTTGTCAGCTTCTGGCCAGTGTTACACCTTCGGGAGCAACCAGCACGGGCAGCTGGGCACCAGCTCCTGCCAGAACAGCCGCGTGCCCCACCTGGTTGTGGGGCTCCAAGCTATGAAGGTCACTGTGGTGGCTTGTGGGGATGCCTTCACTGTGGCCATTGGAGCAGGTGAGACTGAAGCCCGCGTCCTGGGCTGCAGCAGGCCTTGGCTTTCCTCTGCCTGGAGTCCGTGTTGCTGGCCGAGATGGGCCGTGGAGATAGTTCAGGATGGTACTGAGGTGGATGGCTTGTCCTAGCCCTGCGGGGTGCAGAGCTGCTACTGCTCGGAGAGCCCTTGCTGCTTAGCAAGTAGAAATGGGAGGCCCATTTCCCAGTGAACACGGTGAGGAGCTCTGTGTCTAGCCAGGTTTATCCCTCTGCAGACGGCGAGGTGTGCACATGGGGGAAAGGAGCCAGGGGACGCTTGGGCAGGAAGGATGAAGAAACTGGGATGCCGCGGCCTGTACAACTGGAGGAGACACATCCATACGTGGTGACCTCTGTAGCCTGCTGCCATGGGAATACACTGCTGGCAGTAAAGCGTGAGTAAAGGCTTCTTTACTGTGATTTTTGGCTGTTAGGACCTAGCCAGACATGATGCCTTGCGACAGGAGCTGTACTGAGTATCCCCTGCACGTATTAAGCTCTGTATTATTCTAGTCCAGCTAGAGCTGCAGATGAGTAGAAATGACTTGAGGCAAAAGAAGATTCCCCTTTTGCTACACAGCGCTCTGACAGTGCCATTTCCACTGGAGAGGGGAGCAGAGAGAAAGCGGAGGAGGTCTTGCACGCTCCCAGACAGGTGGGCTGGCCGGCCTGTGGCCGGTGGGAAGTTGGTGTGCTGGCGGTCCACAGAGTTTCCAAAAGGAGCAGTTCTCTAATTGGTGCTGCCGAAATAGAAGCTGAGATTTGAGGCGTCATTTTGGCTGCCGGATCTCCATTGTGGTCTGGAGAAGATAGCAATGGTTTTGTGGTTCTTCCCTGCTTGGGCCAAAGGCAGCATCATTGCGTGGTTAAAATGTGCCCGTGGCATGACCTGCCCTTCCGTTGCCTGGAAGTGTGATGGGAGCCTGGCCCAGACTGCTGGAGGGGCCTTTCTTCCGCCTCTGCTGGGCTGATTATGGCCCTGAACACTGGGCTGAGGGATTCCAGTCCCAGCCCACTTCAAGCAGGCTAATTACACCCTAGAGGGGAGGAGGCCCAACCGGCCACCCCAAGCACAGCAAAATCAGCTGTGGCTCCCATTTCTTCTTCCCTGCAAGCGCTGAACTCTCTCAAGTGATGTACGCTGCCATGTGAAGGGGACGGGGAACGGCCGAGTCTCAAGGCTTGGGAACAAGCAGGGTGTTTGTCAGGGGAGTAAAAGGGTTTTGTTCCCGCAGGAAGACGGCAGGCTGCTCTCCCCTTCCACTGCTGGGAGTCACCCTGTGCTCTGTGGCAGCTGGGTTGGGGGCTCCCATCTGCAGCACTGCAAGAGCAGGGACCCAGCGCATAGCCTCTGTGGTAGCCCCACTGCTGTCCCTCTGCCCTGCCCTGTCTGTAACCTTGCCCCCCCCAATCTCGCTGCTGGAGGTGCTGCATGGCAAATGCAGCAGCAGCAGCAGCTGCTAGATTCAGTGTCAAGGCAGCAGCCTCACTTGCTCCCAGTGTCCCTCAATAACCAGAGCGTAAAACAAACATTGAGAGCTCTGTAAAAGGCTAAATTTTGATTGGGCTTTTACTCAGCTTAGTCTGCCTGAAGACCTCTCTGGAATGAACACGAGAGCTGGCGAAACGTTTGATATCACTGCAGCTTTCAGCTCTGGCCTTGACCTCACCTGGGAGCTGGGAGAGGGTGTCGGTGTGTTGGTGCTGGTGAGCAGCGCTCCACCCTTCGTGTAGCAGTTCTGCACTGCTCTGCGGTTTCCTCCCATGTAGCCACTGCTGTTTTTGACTGGCCTGGGCTTCTGCCCACTTTATTGTGAAGCCACTGCTGCACCCTTCTCTCAACACCACTGCAACCACTGGTCTGGAATAACTGGAATAAGGAGGAGGAGGAGGGTGCAGACCTCAAGAATTTGTATTTCTTCTCCCTCCAAAATCCTTAGATTGCTAGGGAGACAGAGGTGCTCTGTGCTGAAACCTGGTACATTGCCTGCTGTTTTGGTACTGCTGAGGGCCTTCTGGTGTCTTCCCTTCCGGTGGTAGCAGGACAGGGATCACAGAGCCCATCCGTTGAGTAACCAGCCTGCGTGGGGTAGGGCACTGCAACTTTAGTTTCGTCGAGATGGTGGCTGCGGGCTCATTCTCGGTCCTTGTCTTTTGTGTTTCAGCTGCCATGGAAGAGTCACCTTCCCAGTGAGTCTGATTGGAGAGGGGCTATATCCAGCCTTGCCATATAGATGCAGAGGCTTCCCCAACCTCACTGCTGCTCGCTAAGGCCTGGCTCAGACCCGCGCCCCGGGACTCGAGAGCTTCTCAGCTGCGCTTAGAAGGCAGCGGCCAGGCAAAACCAGGGAGTTTGTAACGACGGTTCCCTCAGAACCAGAGTTGATCTCGCTTGCTGAATCGCTGAGGATTGTTGCCCGGGAGAACCTGAAGCGTCAGAGAAGTGCTGCCCAGGACACATTGTGGGACAGGCGTCCCTGTAGCTCCGCCACAGGTCGTGCGGGGGCTCCATCCCTTCCTGTTGAAGTGGCTGTGAGTGTAGGGGAGCTCTCCTCCGCTGCCAGTGACGAGCACAGAGGTTGTTTTCCCCTGTGGAAACTGTCTCTGGTTACAAAGCCCAGGCTGACAGCTTGGTGTCTGAGAGAGCTGTCAGCCTTCTCACAGCGGTGTCTGGAGTTTCGGCCCCAGGCACTGCACTGGGTGACTAAGTGCAAACCTCTTTTCTAATTAGAGAAGTCTGTCCGTTCCCATCCCCCCCTTTAAAACGTTTCATCCATTTGTTGAGCTGTTCATCGTGCTTTCAAGGGTCCTGGTCTGCATGGCTGGCTGAACCCAGCGCGAGCAGCGTCTTGTTTGTGCGTTGCGGCCCGGCCCACTCTCCCAAAGCGCTGCCTGCAGCTCTCCAATTACAGCCTCCCATAGCCCCAGGAGCCCAGCTGAGGATCTTCTAGCTGATGTTTGTCCTCAGGCCCCTGAATCCTACTGCTGACCAACTTGCTGGCTCCCAGCTGAACTAGTGGAAGGCAGCAAAACGCAGCAAATGATTGTCAGTAATTGAAGTTTTTTAACCCAGACCTCTCCAGGGAGATGATGAGTTTTCACCAGGGATCCTTTCTGCAGACAGGATGGGGCATATCACGATGTCACAGACAGGAGTTAAGTTTTTATCTCCAGAGGGGTCGTTTCCTTTTCTTTTTTTTTCTTTCTTTCTTTCTTTTTTTTTTTAAACTTATAACTGCCCTGGGCCATTTTTTTATGAGCTTCTGTCTCTGATCTGTCTGACATTGCAAATGCTTTTCCCTTTCACATCCATCTTTGTGCTGTTGCCAATCTGTTGTGTATAAAGTCAGTACTTTCCTAAGCTGGCTGAGATGGAATCTCTCTAATTATTTTTGTGATTCTTTCCTGTTCTCAATGAGGGAAATCTTGCTGGGCTCTGGTAGGAGCCGACTGATCCCTCTGTCATGTGAAAGGTAATGAATTTCTGCAGGTTTCCTGCTCTTTCCTCCCAGGCTCCAGCTGGGGAAGGGAGTGGGTCCTGTCCAGCTGGGAGAGGCATGGGCAGCTCTGACTGCAGACATGGCCTCCCTGTTTGGCTCCTGGCAAGGTGGGTAAATGGGTTTTTCCCTCCCGCTTTATTTCTTTTGGAGCTGCCTTTGCAGGCAGTTACACCCTGCTACCCCAGGAAACTGCCTTGCGTTCAAAGGCACTGCTGGTCCCTTGGCGCTTGCCTTGTGCTGCAGGTTACAAGGATGGCTTGAGCAGCCTTTGTGCTGGTGGAGGGAAGGGTGTTCTCTGCTCCCAAACCAACTTGGGCACCAACATAATTGCAGGACTGGGTTAAATTGCTTCAAAGCCCCTCTGGGCCATTGTCTCTCCTCCCTGCGCTTGGCTGTAGGGCAGCACCGGCTCCTACAGGAACAGACTTCTCTTGGCTGTGCGTGCCCAGCCTGTGCCCATGCGGCCCTGCTCTTGGGGCTCCTCCCCATGCCATGTGCAAACACACCCCTGAAGAAAGGGGGTGCATTGCTGCTACAGCTTCACCTTGGCAATAGTGCCGCTGAAATGTTGCTGCTCCAGGAAGGTGGGCAGCCCTGAGAGCCAGCCGGCTCCCCGCTCCAGCCGCCGACTCTGGGGTGAGCGTGCTCCCCACAGGCCCTGTTCCCACTGATTTGCTGGCATTAGGCACCTTGTTTTTATGGCTTAATGGCAGCCTTTGCATAGAAGCGCTGAGGTGTTGCTGGCTTTAATATTGGCTTTAATATCAGGAGCCTTTGCTCCGGGCCCCGGGTTTCCAGGTGCAGAGACCTGCGTTGACTCTTCTCTCCTCCTTGTGTGTTTTGTGCCGGGCTGAGGGTTTGCCGGCGAGGGCTGGAGCCCTCGGGGATTCGCAGCTCGTGCGTACTCGGTGCAGGAGTTCAGCTGTGAAACCCAGTGAGATCATTTGAATAATTTAATACCGGGCTGTGACCAAGTCTGGCGAAAGGGTAAAGGAAACAAAGAGGCCCCCAGCCCCAGCAACAATAGCTCTTGAAACGACAAGCCGAGGCATGTCCGTGCTGCCGGAGGCAGAGAGCAGCCTGGGCAAATAGGCCAGTTGCATTCCTCACGTCTGCTGCTTTGTTCCCCCACAGAAGCTCCCGGTGAAAACTGCAGGTCTCAGGGTTTCTCCCTTTATCCTTGTTTTGTTCCTGAGTCCTGTGCTCCGCAGAGCTGGTGGTGGAAACGCCCGGGAGACATCGGCTCAGCCTTCCAGGGACTGTCCGTGTCCCCCAGCTATTGCTGCTAACCAAGGCACGGCCAAAACAAAGCAGGTAGGGGAGGTGATGTGACAAGGGATGAGACTGCCTGTTTCTGTGTTGTTCCTCCCCACGGGCAGTGAGGTGCAGGTCTCATTTGGGAGTAATGAGGCCAGTTAACTTTCACATAGGGAAAGCCTGTCTCCTGGCATCAGGGCCTGGAGGGAGCCCACAGAGAGATGGGCTTACAAAAGGAGCTGTATTCAGGCAGGGTCTAACACATGCTTGTTCCCATGGTTGATAAGATTACCCGTCCCACTGACCTCAGGCCCTTGCTGCCAGCAGGAAATAGCCAAAAACGCCTGCTGAGCCCTGAGTTGATTTGACTTGATTCTGACACTTCTTTCTTGGTCACATCCCTGTTCCCACGAGGCTTTGCAGAAGGTGCAGCTACCGTCCATCTGTCCACCCACCTCACACCCTGCCTTTCTGTGGGGACAAGTCCCCAGGAATAGGGAGAGGACTCTCCCCACTTCTTTCCCCGGGGCAAAATGCTCCCCTCCGCCTGTTCACATCCCCAGAAGCCCGAGTGTCGGTTTTCTGTCCCTCCAGTTTAAGGTAAAACGCAAGGCGGAGGGATGAAGCAGTGATGCAGGGAAGACACAGACAGGTGGAACAAGGCAGAAAGCCTTCCAGAGCCCAGATGGAGTCGAGGCCTGACCTGTCACCGTATCACCTCCACAAAGGCAATTGCCCTGCCTGGAGGTTGAGCGTTGCCTTTGTGTGAGACAAAGGCCTTGCTGTAATGTTGAGTGCGGGGAGGGCGTTCATTAGGGAGATGGGAAAATGAGAGGATCTTTGTTTGCAGGCTCTGTGGAAGGGTCTGACACCTCCGAGCCCCAGCCGTCCTGCCGCTACAGCCAGCACTTTCTGATGGCTTTGTCAGCTCCGAGCTAATTAGCAGAGGTGCTCTTCAGTGCGGTTAGAAACAGAGAAATTATAAACATCAAAGAGGTGCAGTAAATAGTGGTAAAACTGCTCTGTTTAACACCTGTTGTCGGAGATAGAGAGGCTAAAAAGCTTGCAGGGGTGGTGTGTCATATGCCTTTTGCGGGGAGGGACGGGGAGTCCCATTGCCCTGTGGGATGCTGACACACACGGGACCAAGGGCCCGTCCTGTTGGCCTTCGCCCAGTCTCGTAGCTGTGTCCAGGGCTGGTTTTCAGACTGGACCAGGTCCTAGCGTGTTTGGACGGGTGTCCGGGGTAGTGGCTGGCTGCGTTCCTGTTCAGTCGCTCCCGACATATGCCTGCCTCCAGGGCATGCTGTGACTTAGTGGCAGAACCAGACGGACCCAAAGGCTTCCTTTGGACCCTGTCCTGGGGTTTTTATGCCTACGTGCAAACTGGGCCCAGGAGAACTGCACCCCCAGGCTGCGACCCCCTCGCGACAGCCTGTTTGTGACAATACTGGCAGGCAGTTGTCAAGCTGGGAAAGGCCCGGTGCACTGAGCCATTCCCCGCTGTGCTGTCTGCAGTCGCCCGCTGTCGTTTTTTGCACGTTGCATTTCCAGGCTCTCTGGGAGCTAGTTAAAGTTTAGCTCGCTGCTCTCTGCCGCCCGAGCAGGCTGCCAGCTAGTCACGTCCCTTGGAAAAGACCCCTCGGTGGCGGTTGTGTCAGCAAGACACGCTCGCTGCTGCAAGGTTTGCCGCTATTCGGGTTTCCAAGAGTTAAAGCTCTGTTGCAGCTCCTAGGACCCAGCCGTGGATGGGGCAGGTGCCGTGCCCAGTGCTAGCCCGCAGGGTAACCCCCAAAAATCAGCCACCCGTCCATTTCCTGGCTGCTATCGCAGCGCGAACGGGCAGGCTGCCTTCCTTCCCCCCAGCAGGCTGCCGGAGGATTTTATTGGAAGCAGAGCCTCTCGGGGAGAAGGGTAACGTGAGCTCCTTGAGTGACAAGTGATGGAGCCTGACTTGCTTAGTGTGTCCCCCAGGAATCTCTCTCCTCTGCCATTTGCTAATTGAAAACTGCTAACATTTGGGTCTGTGGCAACTGCCTCCCTTAATGGGAAGCTGGCTGGAGCATGCGTTGGTGGGACTAACACATGCTTGCAGCCTGTCATCTGGTCCTATCCATCTCAAGGGAAAGGGGCAAATACTCCCATATGCTGCTCTGATTTTTTGAAAGAGTAAAGTGGGGGCTGGAGCCAGGCAGGTTTTCTTTTATTCTCCCTCCAAGCCCTTGCTTGCGGGTGAGAAACCAGGGGCCGGAGGGCTGCCGTTCGTGGCGCAGAGGCGCTCGGACAGCCTGGGGCGCGAACGCCAGGCGGCACGAAG